TACATTCATCGCCATATTATCATAAATTATAGTTTTACTTCGTTGAAGACTAGCTTCCCTAATCAAATTTACTATGGCCTTCAAAATGCTTTTGACGTACTGTATCCTATTACAAAAATGTAATATGATTCGCCGGAATTTATTTTTAAAGTTTCTAACTCTATGGAGATGCATTCCTATGACCGTGGTTCACCGAAATGCTGTTCTAATGCTGTTTCCAATGATGTCCAAGTGTCTAAATCTTGGCGTTCACTAATAAGATTCGCCGCTCTACCGGAGAGTCGTGATGTTACTACGTGAAAAACATATAAATCTTGTTCACCGTTTCCTTTAATACGACAACGATCTATTACTTATTCACATTTTCTTATAAATAAATTTAGTAATTTTTCGTCACCATCAAAAATTGGTATAAAATTAGACATTTCCCGAGGTATTTGCTTGATTTTATCAATTTTTTGAACAGTGCAATATACAGGGAGCCCCAAAACGACCGACACAGCTGAAAGTTTCAAGTTAGGTAGCATACAAATGTTCATTTTATTTAACAAATATTTAAAAATGGACAAGACGAAAAACTGGTGTTAAAAAAAATAAAATCTAAGTGTTGACAGCCCTTTAACGCACACACGTTCACGCGTTAGCGTACACAGAGTTATACTATGCCTACACGTAATGTCGATGTGTGCAGATTACAACCGGCCATTTAATAAGAACTAAGTTTAATGATGATTATTAGTATTAATTTAATTACTTACCTAGAGTCGATGCTCAAAATGTCCACCTCCTCTCTGCAGATAGAGCGGAGCACGCTCTTTTGTATGCCGGAGCACGCGCGAAATTACATAATTTTCCAGAATTTGCCGGCGGAGCTCTTCAAATGCTCCCACCAGGCGGTTCACCATTTCACCACGAGTTTCGCATTCATCGTGATAAACGCGATCTTTTAAATTGCCCCATAAAAAAAAGTCCAGAGGCGTGAGGTCAGGTGAGCGTGCTGGCCAGCGATGTGGTCCGTACTGGCCGATCCATTGGTCTCCAAACATTTTGTTTAGTACCTCGCGCACCTCCACCGTAGAATGAGCTGGAGCCGGTTGAACAGGTACACGCCTAAACCGGCCGCCTCGTTGGTCATCCATGGAAGTACGTGGGGCGACTGTACGATTTTCTCTTAGCCAATAAAGTGCACTTGTAACAACGCGAAGGTTTGTAGGGTGTGGTGGAGGTAAGCATTCCCGTTACAAACGTAAAGCTGCCCTTGCGTTATAGCCACACTCTGCGTATAATAACACAATGTTCAAATAATCTCTTGCTTCTAAAGGCATTTTCAACTTAATTAAACTAAACTAACTAGGCTTCACTAAACTTAACACACACACGCACACTCATACTAAGAACTAGTTAACTTAAAACTAAATAAACTAAAATTACAACAGAAAAATGGACGGAAAAGTCGCTTCGCAGCGTTACGGTAGCAGCGATGCAGTAACGTATCCCACGCTCAAACGTCCGGCGGCGACTCAAAAAGCCTGATTAAGGCTCCGACGCCACGGGACAAAAAACGCCATCCGTCGAGATCTGATTGGCTAGCGTACGGCAAGTAGTAGACCGGCTGTTTTTTTCCTTTAACTGGTTTTTTCCATTAACTAATAATAACCAGGGACGAATTCACTTCATCTTCTCGAATTCGTACTTTGTTATTACGCAATTGTTTTTGAATTTTCTTTTTAAATACATTTTAAATAAGTAACTTAACCCTTACTTAGTGTTTTAACATAAAGTACATTTGTGATAATGGTTCATTATTATCACAAATGTATTTTATGTTAATGGATGATGTATTAGTTTAACTACTTTAATAAATGATCCTGTTATTTGATCCATTAAGTTACATTTCTTTGGGAAAACTCTGACTATTTAAAGTAATGTATTAATGGAATGTAACTTAGTTAATGTTTTTACAATGATTTATTAAATGTTAGTCTATTAATTAATTTGAGCATTTTGACTGATTCGTATAGTGATTGTCAATTCGAAATTATTAAAAAACCGTTCAATAGATCACAATAGTAGTTTATTTTGTTTTTAGAAATTAAGAAGTCAATGACCGATTAAAACTTGTTCCCAAAAACAGCTGACTAAGGGTTGAAAACACTCATTATTTCCAAAATCTTCGTAATTTTATATCTCAGAAATTATTTTACCTAGACATATAATTTTTTTTACATCATATTATAGACAAATTGTACTCTCCAGGAACCACGGGAGTGTCGGTCATTCTGTTCCACCGTGTAATAATTTCCCTATTAAAAAAATATTTTATATATATTTATTTTTTCATATAATATTATGTATATATTTTATATTAATTTAATTATATCAATATATTTTTAATAGTACTCTAATAGAAGACAATAAAAGCACTTTGATTTTTAGAAATCACTTTTAGAAAACTTCCTAGACACATAACTTTTACAAGGGAAAATGAACGGAAATAAGACTGGAATAGCGATTTTAGGTCTACTCACAGACTGCCCATGTCACTTGAGTCTCAGACGACGTTCCTTCCGAAGCACAAGCGAAATTTGCTCTGTCTTGTTATTCTTGACAAATTTATTTGGTTCGTTGGATTTCCGTGGAAAACGCGTAAAAACGTTCGACCGCGATACTGAAGTTAAGTTTTCGCGACGCGGAAATCCTATCGGCTGCACCAGTCAAGTAGTGGGCGAGGCGAAGGAGCTTTTAAAAAATACAGAATTCAATTTTTAGACGTATATTCGTCTCAAAACTGTGTCTAAGACTAACTTAAAAACTATGGTATAATATTAATCTACCAGACGAACATCCTGGAGGCGTCTGCCGATTCAGCGTCTGGTTTCTTAAAATATATTTTGCTGACTTGAAGCAATGGTGGAGTCGCCAGGTGTAACTAGGTACATTTTATATTATAACCTTGTTTGCATTCAGAATTTTCTTACTTATTGAAGTGTAAACTGACAGTTTATAAAAATAATACTTAACCTAGTATTTACATAATCTAGCTACTTAAAAATATTAATTTTTCTATAAATAATAACGGGACGTATACATAGTACAGTTACTCATTATTTGTTTCTTTTATGTGAATTCTCAAATAGATTTTCAGTTCAGTTAGACAATATTTGTATGCCGGCAAGTTCTCAACTGTCTACGCTCAACCACGGTAAAATAGACAAAGTAGCTACAGTGAAATAGAATTCAAGCCGATCTTAAAAAAGGAACGTGAGCATTTTTTTACTTATTAAGTAATTCTCTTTTGATTTATTACTTGCCTTGTTTTTCAAAACGTCCGTTTGTAAGAAAATATTTATAGTTGCTTATCATTATTTACATTGAGTTACACAGTTATCTTTAAAAAATGAGAAAAACGTTGAAGACAACAGCGTAAGCGCAAATAAAGAATAACAATATTTAACAATTAAACGTATTTACATTAAAAGTCGAATTACAAAATTTAAAAATTTCTTGTCGTCTATTCAATCTAAAGGTGAATTAACTTCTTTTGAATTGTCAGAGTTAATTATATATAGGTCAAATTAATGAAATTTTTGTATATAGTCTAATTTACTTACTGAACAAATTCTTGCTTTTGAGTTGATCCAGTCATCGTGATCATTAGGACCGTTGTCATCACCTTCAGAGTTACACGGACACTCGATTCTGTTTCCTTCTTCATCTTTGCAAATTACTTTATGAGAGAACGAACCATCCTGCACAAGGAGATCCAAAAGGTTGCTTACAGTTCGGTGTTTGATTTCAGAACAATTCAATCTCTATGCTAATGATGCCAATCAATTCGAAATGACTGACTGGTCTATCAACAAACTAATACTACTACTTATAGCCAAGACGCACACTGAACTTGTGAATGAAGCGCACAATTGTGTTATGTATCCTTATCAGTGACATATGCGTGTTGGCGCAGTACCGGGCCTGGCATCGGCACATGTCCGTTTCAGGGCTAGTAGTTACTCTATAAAATTATAGGATATTTGAGCAGTAATTTAATTTACTTACAGAACGAATACATGGCACTGTTTCTTTTATAATAGCTGCATTCACAGAAGGTAATTTAAAATATCGCCATATTTCAAAACTGAATATACTTTCAAGAATTGACATAATTAGGAATAAAACATTGAATAACTAATATTGTAGAAATAAGAATATATGGCTGTCTAAACAGATTGTTCAAAATTCTGAATTTAACGCATTGTAATCTATAGAGCTATGATCTTCAAAATACCTAATTGTTAAATTGTGAATATACATATATACCACTGTGTACCTTTTCTTAATTATACTATATGTGATAATTATTTATATGCTAAATAAAATTTTTATAGGCATTGAATTTGCGACTATACTTAAGTAGCACGTGCAAGTTTTCTACAGCTTGATATGTCGCTTATGTCGAAGTAAGAGGGTATCACTCAGTACCCAGTACGGGATCCCTGGTGGCGGCGCACGTTGGTGTATGAAAAATGGCATCATATATTTTCACACAAAAAAATAAAAGTATTTCACGAAATAGGGAATCGAATGCAAGATATGGCAAATTACCAAATTTCCTAACTACCTATATTGATATGATATAATCTTTTGACATGTTTTGATTAGGTAGGTATATTTAATTTTCTTTTTATGTTGTTTCTGCGGTTATTCGACCCCTTATAAACAATTATTAACACAATAAAATAAATTGAATATAGAAACGTTTATCAATATAGGCTGACACAAACAAAAATATATACCTATATAATATTATTGTAATAACATACGGTTAAGGATGATCTCGAACAATCCAGATCTCGAATAGTCGAGGTCTTATTATAGCCGCTATGTTCTTCAGTCGGCAAATGTTTCAGACGCGTCAATCTTTACCCGGCATCCGGCAACAGCGCATTGTGTCATTAATTTTAGATTGATTCTCTGGGCAAAGTAAAATAGTTTGAAAAGTGATGGCAGGGCATGCCCCACAACACTACGATATTCTGCAGAACGACAAATATGGACGATATTTAGTGGCTAACAAGAATATAGACAGTGGAGAGTTGATTTTTACAGACACACCGTTTGCTTTTGGGCCCAAACCAGGCAAGTTTATTTGTAGCTCGTTTCTAGTCACATCGATGAAGACTAATAGTGAATCTTTCGGGAAGAGATTACAATCCTAACGCCTAAAATAATTTTCAGCTATCTCTAACTAACACGATTCCGAAGGTATTATGAGTATTGGAGATAGAAATTTTAACTTTCACAAGTGCTTGTAACAGCCTACACTGAATAAATAATTTTGATTTGATTTGAACACCCGCATGTTAGTTACGTACGTGACGACGCTTGTTGCGGATTTTCTTTTCGGCGTTTACGCATAAGTGGATAGGTCAGTGCCAAACCTAATTGCGTCACAAATATTAGATCGCGTTATTTTAGTTACGTCGTCTGTGCTGATTTGAGGCGGTTCTGAGGCAAATTTTTACGTCAATCTTCGTTAGATGAAATTTCATGCTTATTTTTTATGAGCTCTATTGCGATGCCTATTCGGTATATCCGTACGTAGAATAGATAGTAAGTCAGAAGGTATCTTGAACCGGCAGCGAAAAGAACTGACTGGCAGGGAGTTGGAAGAACGCGTAAGGGGGTTATGTACAAATATTCAAATTTAATAGAAACTCTAATATTTAAGTTGTACTCGCGAAAGAAGGAAGGGTTTCCGCAAAAAATCACGTTTGTTGTATGGGCCCATTTGTTATATGCCCCCTTGAATATTTATTTCACGGCAACAGAAATATATCATCTGTTAAAATTTCAACTGTCTAACTATCACGGCTCATGAGATACAGCCTGATGTCATAAAAAGATCACGATTGTTGTATTTGAGCCCCATTTATTATATTATGGTTTTTAGTATTTATTGTTGAAGCGACAACAGAAATACTACTCGTACGGATTAACATGACATCTGATGGTCTATTCTATTTCTCTAAAAATGAAATTTCATCAATCCTTGTAATGCTAATACGATTCCAAAGAAACGCGATCTGATACACCGACAATCTCCATGGATATTATTTTAAACAAAATTTTAAGAACGATTTTGAAATTTTCCGAGTTTTCGTTCCGCGACAAATAGGGCTTCCGGTGTCATGTTAATTCGTACGTGTATCATCTGCAAAAATGTAACTTTCTCAGTTCATGAGATATTACCTGGTGACAGACTGCGAAGTCTTAGTAAGTAATAGGGCTCCCGTTTTACCCTTAGTGTACAGAATCGTAAAAAGTGGGAAATAATACTTATAAGCGATTCAAGAAATTGACGTCAGGCCGAACATTTCTGTAGGTTATAAATATTGCAATAATTATAATGTTTGATTTTATTTTTCAAAACTCAATAAACAACTCATATTCTATTTGTACTTTTTCGTATTTGTATTAATATCTAAGTTACGAAATTTACAATTTTCAGTTTTTTAATATGTTTGTTAAAAGGAACGGAAATGACTGTCTTTGGTCCATTTGTTTCCTACAAAAATCATGTTTTGCTAGGGTCGCCATCTAGTGACGGTGCTTTTTAGTGCTTTCGTTTTTTTTAATACTTCCTCGTTAGACAAAACGTGACATTCGTGAATCATGTATTTATCAAATAAATAAAATTATTGTAAAGTTGTATTTTTTATTCTGTTAACTATTTCTTCACACAAAATTCAAATTTGATAGCTGAATATTTTTACAATAGTAAGATTATCAAATAATAGACGAAAATCGTTCTCTGCTAAATAAAACACATTTTTGTCACAGAACACAGAAAGACGTTTTCCGTGTTCTGTGGTGATTTGTGCTATACTATATGGCGTTAAGTATAGATACTTCTACATCGTACTGTTTTAGTTTTGTTGAGTTTCCAAATAAAATTTAGTAAGAACTTAGCTTTGTTATATTGATGAGTAGCCCACGACCCACGATCGCGTTCCTGTAATCAATTTTCGCAAGGTCGGTCACGGTAAGGGTGACCAAACAATTATCATCTCAGCTACTCCATGATTCGAAAGGCACGTTATGCAGTTGGGTCCAGCTGCATTTGGAGTCGTTAATGCCCTCTAATCCGCTTTGAGCCAGCTTGGAGGGTCATGGCCAATGGCCTCTTTAACTATATATATCCATAAATAAGAGCCCTTGCAGTGGGAACGTAAAAGGGCTGTTCATGGCGTTTATTCTTAACTAAATTGTTTGGCATTTATTCTTAACTAATGATTTTGTTCAAAAAAATTTACGCCAATTTCAGTTTACGATTAAGTTTTGTGTGGACATTAGATTTGTTTTTCTATCCATCTGTATTTCCAATCGGATAAATAGCTTTTAAATATTCAGAGATAAAGTACTGTAACATAAAAGACATTAGTCTGCTAATCACATGTATAGCAGATGATGTATCTTAAATAAATAAATATATATAGCTTTTTGTTGTAGTATCTTCAAAGTTGAACATCAAAATAATTTTATTCAAATATCGCGGATATTTTGCTATTAATAAAATTAATAATTGTGTTCCGTAAAGTGATCCTTGATAGTTAAAGAGTTCCCAGGGGTTTGTATAGCCGCACTGTAGAAGGACGTTTTGACGGTTACTCAACTGATGACGTTTAGCCGTGCAAGTGAATGGTGCCATTCTATTATAGCTAACCGTCTAATTGAATGGATCTTTTACCCAGTGGCTACGGCCAATCCATTAATATACCTATGATATATTAATAGTTTAAACTTTTAATTTTAACAGTTGTGAGTTTAAAAGTCGATCAAGCAATCGTGATTTATATTGTTCTTAGTATATTTATTTCGTAAACTGTCTGGTAATCTCTTATTATAATATATGTCTGAGATTGTCTTTTTTAATATACAAATATTACGAGAACGTCGGGTTAATCATGATCTAATTTTTCTACATAAGGTTATCGATGGTCAGATTGATTCTGTAGACATTTTAAATCAAATCGGTTTATCGGTTCCTTATAATTACCCCAGACATCCAATCGCAAAAAAATTCCAGAGACTTTAGCAAAGGTCAAACTAGTACGAGGTTCTACGGGAGTAAGATTTACTCCTAGAAGGTAGTAGGTTTGCTTATTCTCTGAATAATATGAATTTGTACTAATATTAAAATCGCAATTTTAGCGTAAATTTACGCTGATGTTTAGGATTTATATGGTACATAATAATAAATAAGTGAATGTTGTGTGTCTGTAATTGTCATCTATATCAGAAACTGTAATAATTTAAATATTGTATTGTAAAGGTTAAAGTACCTAAAAAATAAATAAATAATATATGATGATGCAATGAGCGACAAGGAGAATCGTTTAATTATTCCATACTAATCTTATACACGCCGAAGTAGGTCTGTGCATATGTCAGTTACGCTCTCACGCCTAACCCATTAAACAAGAGTTAAGATAGGACATAGGTCGTTTTTATTGTGACGATTAGATTGTACGGAAGTTCCTTAAAGTCATAGATAAAATCATGAAACTTTATTTCAGGTATTTTACTCGATTATAATGAATAAATATCCGTTTTAGAAATGCTGCTCAAAGTAACTATACCACAAAAAGCTAGTGGTCTATGAAAGGCGATTTTGTTTATTTGCTCGAAATATTTTTTCCGATGCGTATTTTACTCATATAATAAAGAGGAGATTAGGTTGCTCGTTTGTTTGCATTAGATGGGCTCCGAAACTAGTGGACTGATAACAATTTTTTTTCACCTACCTAAAGTGACATCATACGCGAGTGACAAAGGCTATAATTTAAGCGGGCGGAGTCGCAGGAACAAAGGAGTCGTAGTTTACAATAAAATAAAACATGATACTATCATGACATCTCAAATTAATATTAAACGATTTACCAACATCAGCTCTTTCTTTTATATTTGATGAAAAGATAAAATCATATTTATGTTTGCTATAGACACTTGTCCGATATGTCTTGGTTGCTACGCCGCTGTAGAAGGACGACTGTGCTCGAAGTGTGGATGGCCGATATGCAGCAAAGAGTGCGAGTCTGCGCCTGCGCACGTAGGCGAATGCGACGTTTTCAGGGCCGCAAACGTTCGATTCCAGCCCACCGACGACTGGACGGCAGCTTCGCCGCAGCTTGATTGCATCACACCTTTGAGGTAGTTACACATACATACAGATAATTACATGACCCATTTCGAGCAAATGTACAAAGTCCATCAACAGTGTCATTAAAAGTTCTATCAATAAACAGATTACTTTTGGCGAAAGAAAAGAACCCCGAGCGATGGCAGCGAGAGGTGTCAACGATGGAAACTCACACAGAAGCTCGCAAGCAGCGACCATCTTGGGCTGCCGACCAAATAAATGTGGTAGACTTTCTCATTGACCATTGCAAGCTCGGCAACCGATTCGACAAAGAACTGGTGCAGAGCGTCTGTGGAATCCTTGAGGTAACTTTGTCGTATTAAAGTCTTTGTTTACGAATCACAGAATCCCTGAAAAACCTGGTCAATATTAAGCATAATGTCGTCACATCTAATATTTGGTAAATATTGTAGTGAAAGATAAAAATATACCAGCTGAGTCAATCAAATTAATCTTTATTCGATACAACGAATTATTACACCAGTGATTCTTATAATATTTACATTAATATCTATTTATCATCAGTTGCTGAACTTGGTTGATCCCTGTATTTTAAGATACAGCGCCTCTGTCCTCAGAAAATATGTAATAAAAATAAAAAAATTGAAATAAGCCACACTAAATAGATCTGAACAATCAGAAGTAATCAACTTTTACTAGTTATTAGTATGTAATATAATCAATAAAGTGTAGGTATATTTAATATTTATTATTTTTTTAGAAAATAAATAGCTAAAGGAAGTTCAAAAAATCAATTTATATTGGGTTCTTACATATGAAATTGGTGTTTTGTCGTACTGGCCACTTTAATTTCTCCTCCTTGGAGAGGTTGGTAATTCCAAATTCAAATTTATATAGCCATTTACACATGTATTTGTGTAAATAGCTGTATAAATTTGAATTTGGAATTCCACCGTGGTACCAGTGCTGCGGAAACGGCTCGAAGGGTTAATGATGAGTATGGCGGTTGTGTCGCAAAAGAAAACACAGTGCGTTTTTGGATTCAACGTTTTCGTTCTGGAAATTTCAACTCCGATGGGGCAATGCAAATCGCCTTCAAAGATTTAATTGATTCCCGTCCGATGGTTTTTTAGTAAGGGGATCATTGAACTACCTATGACATGGCAAAAGTGCATAGATAACAATCAAAGTATATTTGATTAAATAAAAATATTCGACTTACCGTTCCTCCCATACCAAACATCAATTTCATATGTAAGGACCTAATATTTAAATGTATTTATTAGCGTTATGAGCACACTCCGTCCGTACATTTATATGGCAGGTAAGAAGCACATGAAGAAGTGAGAGAGCCACACGGAGCGACAGAGTGCGGACATAAGTAAAGTCAACTGCAGAAATTTGGCATAATGTGGTAACTTGAAGTGCAGCCGTGTGATCCTGTCTTAAAAACTACTTCGTTCAGAAATGTCTTACAGATATAATAACATATTACTTATTTTACCTAGGTTAATTCCGTAGAAATTCCTTCGAGGGGAGGATTCAGCATAAGGGCTATTTATCCACAGCTGGCTATCGCAGCGCATAGTTGCGTACCTAATATTGTGCACTCTATCCTGCAAAGCAACTACCAGTAAGTATCCTGTTTCCTCAAGCACACAAATAGCATAATAACCTCGAGTTTCAGACTATTAGTAAAACTATATTTCATATAATGTACTATATTTTCCTTCTACAGAGTACAAGTGAGAGCAGCGGTCTCTATTAAGTCTGGAGATATGTTGCACTTATGCTATACTTATGCATTGTCACCGACTATAGTGCGACAGGATTTTCTATTTGATTCTAAATTCTTTAAGTGCGAATGCGCTCGTTGTGCTGATCCGACCGAATTAGGCACGCATCTTAGCACCCTTAAATGTCAAAAGTGCGATAATGGTGTAGTAATGGCTGTAAATCCCCTGGGTAAGTTCCTTTTCCTTAACGTTTAGTTGCATCCGTCCAAAAGTTACCGGTGATAATAATAATATTATGATTTTTTCAATTACCGATTTCAATCCATACATACTTTTCGGTTGGTCGCAGGTCACCGTTGCTACCGCAACCGGAAAGTGCGGAAAAAATGTTGCGGTTTATGGTTCGATCGACTTTATTCCGATGAAGTCGACAAAACCATCGTAATTTTTTATAACCACGAGATTAATATAAAGAATAAGGAACAAAAAAGGACGCAGTCTTATTGCAACCTCGAGATGAGAGCAAACAAGCATTTTGAAATATTATTTTAAGATCTAAATATGTATGAAAATAAGTTTATAGATATTGATGTCATGTAAAGAACTACTTAGTATTTTGGAACCAGTATTTTATCTATCTACGTATATCTACTATTAAATAAAAATCAATTACTGTTCCGTTTGTCTCGCTGAAACTCAAGAAAGGCTGGGCCGGTTTGACTGATTTGATATGCTTCTCGTTGTTGAAACGAGGAGAGGTGATACGAAGTACACCGGGTCATCTATCCTATACTAATATTATAAAGAGGTCTCTACTAATATTAAAACCGAATAAGTGCAAGTCGGACTCGCTCACGAACGGTTTCATACTGAAAACAAACAAAATAATGACGATTGTTGTATGGGTGCCCCTTAAATATTTATTTTATTCTGGTTTATAGTATTTGTTGTTGATACGGCATAAGAAATACACCATCTGTGAAAATTTCATCAAAGCGGTCCGCGGTTTTGTGCCTTATTCTCTCCTCTATTTAATATCCTGGTTCTACTAAATACTTCGTAGTTCTTCAAGTAACTTATTATTATACTTAATGAGCTTTTCAAAAATATATTAAAACTGCTTGCTTGTTCTGATCTCAAGTTTACAAACTGAGCCAGCACCGTTTGTTTATAACAAGTTATAAGTATAATGCTCGCAGTTAAATAATTCTACTAACTTTAACTACAACAAATTAGACGTCGTCAAATTAGACGGGAATAAGTCGTTCGATCCACAAACCGCAAAGTTTTCACCCTCGATTTCTGGTTGCAGTTACAGCCAGCCACCACCCTGCCACCCAGATTGGGCGTTATTGCATCCGTGTCCTGCGATCAACCGAATGGCTAGCCGCTATGTGACTAGACAGTACCCTTCTAGATCGCAGTGCTGCGAGCGGCCAGAGTAGCACCATTATGTATGTGTCGCAGCTCACTATTTTCTATTGGTCGACCTGTCCTTTAATTGAATGGCGCCATTCAATTGAAAGGCTAACTTTCCACTTAAATTGTTATGACATTTGGACCGTTCAACAAGACGACTGATTTAAGAGACACCAAAACATTCAGTTAGTATATTTCTTCGCCAAAGTGGCACTAGCTTTGCTTTCTTAACAGTAGACAGAGAACTGTCTACGTTCTTTAAAATGTTTATTCAAGCAGCGTTGCCAAAATGTTACATATGTAACATTTTACGTTGCTCTTGACCCTGTCATGTTACAAGATTCAAAATGTTACTTTGACGATTACACCATAAACAATTTCTTTCATTATTACAAGTTCGTTTGAATCTTAAACAAATACCCTATTATATTTGTTTTCTGCAAGAAATAGTGCAATGTGTTACTTGTTTCGTGAAAATGTTACTTTTTGAGCTGTCTGTTATATATAACTATCTGCCACTGGCAACATTTTATTAATCGTTCGTTTATTTTGTAAAATTGAGTTTATTTTTTGTACAATACAAATGTAATTTTTTTAACATTGTGTTTTTGTTCCTAATCCTTACAATAAATTATGGTAATCCTATTGAATTGACAGTTAATTAGTTGGTTAACTATCGTTTAGCTGTAATGTAGAACATTGTGTTCATCAAGCGTGCGTACACCGAAAATCATTAAGTTTCAACTGATTTTGAGAAATTAATAACTTGCAAAAAATTCGCCATTTTTCCATTTCTTGTTTTAATTAAATAACCCTTTTTATAGGGAAACTGTCCCTATCTCTCTCATTGGTGGGCGCAATGAAATAAACTGTGAAGTGTTTTGACTTTACGCCTCTTCTTAAAATTGTAATATTTTACGTCATTTCTAATCCTGCAGAATTGACAAAATTTATTTCATTAGAAATGTTTCTATTAGATGGTGAAACAAAGTGGATGTGTACGGAAAAACAGTGCGCGTTCAAAACGTCGACAACGGCAATGCGTAAAATGTTAGCAGTAGTGCAGGCGGATATCGACCAGCTCGACGCCCTGGAGCCCGGTCCGCAGGCTATCGAGCAGAGAGAGGCCACTTTAAATAAGGTACCTACAATGCAAATCCAACATTGAAGCATGAGACTTCAATAGGGAATATTGTGCATAGCTCAGCGTAGATGGCGGCATTAGCACATGTAACTAAGTAGTATACAAACAAAATTTTTCGAAAATTTATTTTGTAAATGAATCATACCCTTCTTTTTTACACCCAAATATAAGTAGTTAGGTACAGCAATGATGTGCGACATTACTCTAGTGTCATGAAATTAATGCAAGCATTGTGAAATTGGACTTCTGATTACACCCAACCTTATTTTTTTTTATGATATCAGTTCAAGTCGGTATTCCATCCGCGGCATTCGTTGCTTCTTTCCATCAAGCATTCGCTGGCGCAACTCTACGGGCGCGTGGAAGGTTATGAAATTGACGAGTTACCTGATATAGTACTTGAGCGTAAGGCAGAATTTTGTCGCCTCGTGCTCAACACACTGGATATAGTTATGCCTGGAGAATCACGTATGAGAGGTCAGTACTGAATTATGCTAACATGTATTAAAACAACATTGTAGTTATATAAGTATTTCGTCACCGTAACAATATGAGACTAGAACATTCGATTGGAATAGTCAGTGTTAAAACACTCGGTGATTGAAGAGCTCATTTGCGTAACTTATTTTATAGTTTATATTAGTCTATAGCAAGGTTCCCGTATCTTCCGGGACACCCGATTTCAATGATGTCCCGCTTTCCGATTTATTATTAATATTGTCCCGATGTTTTAATATTGCTTGACTCGGGTTCCTCGCGATAAACTACACGACTGCCAAAATCGGAAGTAAAAAAATCTATCGGGCGGGCCTGCATTGCGATTCTGTAAAAATCCAGACCAGCCCTGCGATTCTGTAAAAATCCAGACCCGAATTCGAATTCACTCATGTGTCCGAATTCACGCCATTTATTACAGAAATCCTATTGATTCAATTTTTTGTATAAAAATACTAAACAAAATTGATTGATTAAACGTGTCTTAGATATATTTATCCAATATCATTTCAAAAATCACTTCACTTATGCCACGAAACGTTATTACCAATTCAAGTTTGAGCTGATGCCGCGCTTATTGAAGTGAATTCGGACACCTGAGTGGATTCGAATTCGGGTTTGAAGTTTTACAGAATCGAAGGGCTGAATTCGAATTCACGTCATTTATTATAGAAATTCTATCAATTCCATTTTTTGTATAAAAATATAAAACAAAACGATTGAATATACTTACGTGTCTCAGATATTCTATTCCTATGTCATTTCGAAACTCACTTCACTTATGCCACGAAACGTTTTTACCAATAGGGTATTTGACACTATCGAAAATAAGATGCATTTTGTGGTCATCCTGATAGATAATAATCTAATAAAGCTTATTTCTTAACATCTGCAGAAAAAAACATGTTTAGATTTAGTAAAATAACGTAATAATGCAATATTTTTAGGAATTTATTCAACGACGAAAACGACCTATAATTGATCGTCGTCACAACCAATCACGATTCTGTTTACTGGCCTGTGACATCATCAGCTGTCCTGTCAAAGTAGTTATAGAAAGATACATAAAATATCGATGCCTGTAGGTATCGAGTTCTTTATAGTAATTTACTGATAAAAGGATACTTTGCCGCTTCTGCTGTTAAGAACTGCCAAAAAGAAATACAGAAAGAAAGAGCAACTTACATGTTTTTCTCATTTCTTGAACTTTAATAAAAATAATTCAAAATTACAAAGTCGATGTTAATGATATATACGGTTCTCCATGTTAAAAACTAATAAAAAAATCATCGGAATCTATAATCTGATGTCTAATTATCAAGTGCCATGCATTTAGTGGACAGACATACTACATGCATGTAAAAAAAATAGTACATTCTTTTTCGTACTAATGTCTCATCCATCTGTAAGTCGATATGCTGTAAAGTGCGAGCCCTGTCAACAAATATAAATGAGTCGTAAAATGTTTATGATATAGAAAAAAAACAAAAAGAAAACCTTCAAATATGTCGATATGAAATAAAAGTGTCAATACTTTTAGCGAATCCTTACCTAATTTTATCACCCATCTCTACTCTATATAGCTACTAATCTATTGTGATTGTTAATCTATTTTCTTCTAGACTCGAAGTTTGTTTGTTATTTATAGAAGTATTAGTACATTGTGGCTCTACGCACCACTTGTAGCTCATTTTATAAAGAAAAGTAAAAGGAAATAAAAAACGAAAAAAATGCGCACTATGACTTCAACTTCTCTTCTAAATTATTATTTCAATTTACTATAAAGACAGTTGTTACTTATCGATTTGACCTATTTACTGGCCTGTGACGTCACGATCAGCGCCATTACATAGAGCAGCGTTTTTCGCGCGATTTTGGCTATTTAAATTTTAACAATTATTTTTACCAAAAATAGAAAATATTCCAATGAAATATAATGACAGTGTGTTTATAACGTAGCAAACAACGATTTAAAATAGTTTTCAGAAAAGTGTCAAAAACCCTATTCAAAGTTGAATGGATGCCGCTTTTTGGAGTGAATTCGGTCACCTGAGTGAATTTCGAATTCGGGTTTGGATTTTTACAGATTCGCAGGGCTGGTGATTACACGGAAACCGAACTTCCGATTTGATACACATTCAAAATTTTGACTAGTATATTTTTTTAATCGACGTCATCAGTCTACTATGATATCAGATTCTATATATAGATTTAAAGTAAAAAAAATATCAGTCAATATTCATTATTTTCAAGGAACGGTAATGAAGGATGTATCAAACCGGAAGTTCTGTTTCTGCGGAATATCCCACCTATAGTTAATGAAATAAAAAAAAAAAAACAAAAAAGTTATTTTTCCTATGCCGTACGTTGGGCTAACTAAAGTGAGATTACGATGACTGTCCGAATATTCCGAATTTTATTTTCAAAAAGACGTGACTCCGCTTTTGAGGATATCAAAATTTCAATGTTTTTTATTGACTCTCGATTATCTCCGCAACTTGACTAAATAGAAACAAATGTCCCTGATTTGTAACGGTTAAATTGAATCAAGACTTGTTTCAAAACCCAAAAATGACGGCGCCGCAAGCGAGTGGAAATGCTCTTCTCGAAAAATCATCTAGCTTCTAAATGAACCTTCATAACGATTACAGCACCCCTAGTGATAAATACCAAGAACTACGATTCTTTAACGCCTTTAAATGAATTACAGGTATGATGCTGTACGAGCTACATGCACCGTTGATGTTTTTGGCAAGAAGCGAATTCAGTGCAGGCCTTATAACTCAGGAAAAATTAAAAGACCGTCTGCAAGAACCTATTAATTGCTTAGCAGATGCAGCACGAATACTATCACGGGAAGACCCTCAGAGTCCTGAAGGCATTACAGGGCAAATTGCCTTCCAGTCTATGGAACAACTAAAAGCCAGTATTGAATCTTTATAGATAGAGAACATAACTATATATTGGTGTAAAAGTGTAATATATAGAATTTTAATAAAAGACAATCATTATAATGTAGGTATTTTAGTTAAACAATAATGATCAATAAACATTCTTAAAATTTTATTTTCTTGGGTTTTTTTGTACTCCCCTTTGCAGACTCATTAACAGTTGCGGGTTGAGCAATATCTTCTAAATTATTACTGTCTAGAGTTTGTAATTTAATAGATGTTTCTTCTTTTGTGGAATTGGTCTGAAAAAACATTTGAAACTTTCACAATAAATAAATATTAATAATATATGCATAATACTTGGGTAGATTAGATCTCATTTAGAAACATTTATTAAAGTATGTAGGTATATTTAAAAATATATTTTTACTGATTTATTACACCTATTTTTCAAAATAAAACATAATTGTAGTGTAAAGTAAATTTCTACTTACCGTAGGACAATCTCTCCTAAGATGTGTTACATCTCCACATAGCTTGCAACATCCTCCATCAGGATACAAGCCTTTGGGGTTATCGGGGCATTGTCTAGCGATGTGACCCTGCAATTAAAGAAAACGAATCCTTATATTTTTTATGGCAAGTTGTCTGTTTATGTTTTGAGATAATAAGAAATTATGTTTATACTAACCAGTTGTTTGCATATGAAACAAGTAGCAAATTTAAATTCCATATTTTTTTGTACTTTACATTCAAACTGTTTGTGTTCTGTTGAACCACATTTAAAACAAATACCTTCTGCCGCATCAGCTCCTGGTATTTTAGATTTCAAATCTGGACAATCTGAAAGATTATGACCTCCTTTTCTACAATTATAGCAAACATCTCTTTTAAGTCTAGATAATGCTTTTTCAGCTCGACGTCTTTCTAATTTGATTGTTCTGAGGACTTCACTTTTAGGAATACCCTTTTTAACCATACTATTCTTTAATTCTTTTAAACGTTCTGCGTCTTTTTTCATGATTGGGAAACCGTCAAATTTAATCAAATCCACTTCTTTTCCATTAATAATAAGTTGAAAACTTCGATCACCAGTTTGTTGAAATAATTTACCATTTCTCATTTTCTTTTTATTTTTCTTACTTTTGACGCTAATGCTTTGTATTTGTTCAGTGGTATTAGTATCATTCTCTCTATTTTCTGCTACATTTTGAATTTCTCCTGCTTTTGATTTGTATTTTTTTTCTCTTTTGGTCTCAGTACTCACACAAGTCTGGTGTATACTTTGTACAGCTTCACAATTTTTGAGCTTTTTGAGTTTCTTTTTATTTTTGTCCATATTCTTTTTAGTATCGTTTAAACCAACATCTTCATCTTCTACAGGCAGGCTTTTTACTTTTGATTTTTTCTTTGGTGGTTGATCAATCAATTGTTTATTTCCGGTTTCTGGAAACTCACACCAAGTAGCTTTTCTTTTCTGAGTTTTTTGATCATTAAGAAAAGTTTGATAGTTCTCTAACCTTTGTTTCTCTGCCTACAATTTATAAAAATATAAGTAATTATAATTTTGTGTAGTTATTTACCCATCGAAAGTGTTTATGAATTATTTCTACTCAAGATTTTGTTTACCAGATATCAATTTGTAGTTCAATTTATTAAATCTCTAGGCCCGAACACCTCCAAATTGAAATAGATATTTAATTGTATATTTGCGTATTAGACAATGTCATAAAAATACAGGCCATTGATTGAAACAGTTTGTACAAAGCACATGATTATTAAAAGATAAGATCAGCATTGTCTTATTTTGTTCGTAGCCTGATTATTTGGAAAAAAAATAATAAATACATAATTCATTAAAACCACGTTTTCATTTTACAAAACACTAAATTGATGATGACGTAGGTATGAAAGGAATTGTAGTCTGGTCTATATATTAAAAAAAAACATTAAAAAGTTGTATTATAGTTTCCAGATGCTTACCATACAGGGGGAAACTATATTTTAGAGATTGATTGACCATGCATTTCTGACGGTTGAATAACCTATAAGCGACAGCCCTACATGTTTGGGCTATTATCTCTCGCTCGGGTCTCAAGTGCACCTACTTATATAATTATACTTTGGAAAAGGCTCTTTAATAGACCGGCAAGATAGTGGTACCAAGAGTAGTTTCGACTTCTGACAGCTGCAACTATTATTAGACTGTGATATCAATCCCACCAGATAAATTACAGTCACTTTGTTGTGCAACAATAAAAAAAAATTCAAATTTAGTTGACGTATGTACAATCACAAGGAAAAGTGATGTGTATGAATGCTTCAGAGTAAGTGAATATAATGTAATCAAAATAAAACGTGAAAATAGCAAATTTGAGATGTGATAATGGTAGTGAATACATTTGCAACGAAATTAGGAATATTTATGAGGATAATGGTACATTTATAGATTACACTACACATACCCCTGATCTAATTGGGAAGATCCAAAGATTTAACAGAAGTTTAGTGGATAAAGTAAGGACAATGATTGCAGATAGATTGGATAAAGAGCACAGTGATGTGCAAGTACAGGAAAGAGAGTAAAGATGTAGGAAAAGTCCTAATAAGTATAATGAATATGAGTTATATATGGCATTTGATGCAGTATTGTATGTTGAAAAAGTAGGCAGCATTGGATTGAAGCATTGAAAATAAAAATAGATTCTATTGAGAAAAATTAAACATGGACTGAAGTGAAACATCCCGAAAAAGGAGAGATATTAACAATGAAACGGGTATTTACGACAAAACTATTAGAAGAGGAAGTGAATAATCAATATAAAGCATGGTTAGTAGTAAGGGGATTTGATTAAAAGGATACATTTGATTATCATCATAAGTATACACTCCATCGTATATACTCACCTGTTGCTAAACTCTCAACTATGAGAACTCTATTATCTATTGGAAATAACCAGAAATATTATTTTAAGCAATTAGATATCAAGATGGCATTCTTAAACCAGATAAAGTAGTTTGCAAAAAAGGAGATTTATAAAAATATCTTAGTTTATATAGATTAAAACAAGCATCAAAATGTTGAAATGAAAAAATTAATCAGTTTTTACTATCAATAGGATTTTAAGATCAGAAATTGTGTGAAATAGTGATTATTATCTATACACCAAAAGAAGTTTGAAAGATATTATTATATAAATATTTCTGTATGTAGATGACATTATCATTTGTGGGTCTGATATAAATCAAATAGAAGAATGTAAGAAGTAATTAATGGAAAGGTTCAAGATGAAAGAGAAGGGTAATTTGAAAAATTTATTTGGACTAGATAAGATTAGATAATGAAAGAGAAAAGGGAATAATAATATAATGGAATCTTACCAGTGACACAATTTATAGGATGTTTAACATTTTTAATGTTGGGCCTAGGCCAGATATAAATATTGCTATAAATTATTTTAGTACAAGTAGATATCAAGATCAAGGTAGTTGAAAGGGACAGTAAATTTTTGTAATTAAAAGACAGCAAAGTAATACCATTTTAAGTTATGTTGATTCAGACTAGGGATCAGATATATATGATGGGAAATCTGTATCCTGTAACTAGAAAGCAACATTGTATCACATTGTCTAGTACTGAAACTTAACTTATAACTCTATGTTTTGTAGTTCAGGATTGTTTATGGTAAAAAAAACTTTTAAATGCCCTTGTCATTAAGTCCGTCATTTGCTATTCCATGCAATAAATAAATAAACCTAGATATAGAGTGTTTTAATGTATATAAAGATAATCAAACATCCAGAAAATAATAAGCATGCAAAATATATAGATATCAAATACAATTTTGCTTGTGATAATGTCAGGAAAAATGATCATTAAATATATACATACTAAAGATCAAGTAGCAGATATGTTAACAAAAGGATTGTCTAAAGAATGGTTTTATTTACATTGTAAAAGTATAGGGTTGAATTCAGCGAGGAGTAATTAGGAGTTTATAGAATCATAATTTAAATGAGACAAGTAGATGTTAATAGAGTAAAGAGAAATATTTGATTATGCTCTTATTTTATTTTATATAAAGCATTAATAAAAGGTATAAAAGATGATAGAAGAGTGTACTGTTATAAATAGAAAAAGGTTTGTGTATCATAAATATCATAATCATAAGAAAAATATATATTAGCATATCAAGATAAGCATTTCTTAAAGTTGATATAACATCAAACAAAAGTTCAATTTTATGTATGCAACTAACAAACTCCGCACCATGACACTTAAGAAAATTAAACCTCTTAAGCGTTTGTATGAAACAAATATCAACACAATCTGCGTAGTCGCCGATAGGCTGCGATGTCACTGAGCTGCAGATGCAGCTGGGACCAGCGGGATCCTGTGCCCTATCACAGTTAGTCAAAAACTTTTTACAAAATTAGTTAACCAAACTAAATTGTATATTTGTAAGATACATACATTAAAAAATTAGGGGAGAACACCCAATTAGTTGGCAATTGTATGGGAATACACACTGGGTAAATTTTGACCTACCAGTCGGATCCTTTCCAATTCCTTCTTTTCTTTCTGAGATTGAACAAGTTGTTCTTTCATTACTTCCCATGGTGTACCATCTTCCGGCGCTTTCTCATTAGAAGCTTTTGAGCCTTTCGCTCGTGCGAATCTGGTCATTGCAATAACCAAAGATTACATACAATATTATATCTGAAAACTTTGGTTGAATTTACATAGACGTTCCCCCACTTAAATTCTCTAGTATCTTCTTCTTGGTCTGTGTTTCTATCTTACGTTACCACGTTTCTTTCCATTTTATTCATTTGACATTAATTTTTTTTTCTTCTTTTTTCATTTGCTACAAAATGGAAAGGCAAAGGCACTTACACTGCACATACATATGCCATACAGCCAAGACAAAAGTAGATTCTTCTTTCAATATAATGTTTCACTTGATTTTCTATTTCATTTTATTTAAATATCTAGGAATAAATTTGGAGAGGATAAAATAACACTGGGGATTTTTTTAAAGTTCCTGTAACGCAGGCGGGATTTTATCTGCTTTCTTGTAGATTTCCAACAAATTATTGGTTAAAATCAAACGTTGTATTTGATTTTTTTTACGAATAATGATGTGCGTAATCGATTACAATTAATCGATTTTTCAATTAATCAGTTAAAAATCGTAAAAAATTCCTAACAAAATATTAACAGTCGATTATTTCTTTAAACGTTAGCGTTAGGAATATTAGTATTAAAATATTCCCAATGCTAACGTTTTAAGAACTATTTATTTAATTTCGATTGATCAGCAATCCTTAGCGGATCGAGAGTGTAAATATTATTACTTAGTAGGTTTACCAATACTTATTATGGAATACTTGCATGAAGTCTTTGAAACATAGTTGCATGGCACATACCTAAACTTTTTTATTTTTTTATTTTTAATTATGGACTTGTTCCGTTATACACGGAAATTTTGCCAACATCCCGTAGTGAGAGAGACACGTGATTCAAGAGACTGAACGGTAGTTATAATTACATATGTACGGTAATTAATCAATTCTTCTTTCGTAGAACGAAACACTAGACTTCTCTGTCTACGCGGTAGACATAGAGCCATATTTTTGTACTGTTAACTGACTTTAGTGACCATAAGTTAAGAGCGATGATTGGTTGAGAAAACCCTGGATTCTGGTGAAATCCACAAGGGCAACGCTTACAAATTTTAAGCGTTAAAACGTTGTACGATTTTTAATTAGCGTTTTTAAAAACTGCTTATTGTTAAAACGCTTTTTTTTTCAACTGAAGTTTGGAAATCATTACAATAAGCGTGCAACGTTGTGTTATAGTTATATAAACTAATAATATTTTTTCAAAGCTAACGAGCTACAAAACCATATAAAACGAAATTGTTGAAAGTAAATAAATATTGACAACATCAATTTTTTTGTACTTTATTTCAATCAATGATTTTCCTTCGTACTTAATCACAGGCTAAGAACTGTCTGGAGTCAATATAATAAAGTTTAATTTAAATTATTTTACTAAACCAATGTAACTCATGATCCAGGCGTACTTAAAAGTTCATTGATTTTATTTACAATTTTTCTTTGTAATTTACATGATTTGCAGCATATTTATTTATTAAGGTTTATTTTTAAAGAATTTGGAAACATTAGTTTTTTGTAACTTTTATTGTTGTAAGTGTGGTTCTTCTGTCCGATATTATGTACCCTGCTTTAGAGAAAGCTCTTTCGCATGGTACTGATTTATTTATTATTTATTGGACAACCAACAAGACATTCACTTAAATTGTTCCATTAGTTACTTGCATGTTCATATATTGAAGTGAACTCTCAATTATAGGTTGCCACGGCAAGCTTCATAAGAAAATAAGATTAAAAAAAAAAGAATATGGGCATGCAAATTACTTAGCAATCTTATTTTATGCATGACAACAGCATAGTTCTACGATATTTTGTCTTGGATTCAAATCTAATTCACTAATGCTGTTGCCATGACCAAGGACAACTTTATCCACTGCAATAACAGCAGATGAACGGCCCCAAGAGACGAATACAGTGGACTTACATTAACAGGGATGACGACTGGGTAAAAAAAAATGCAATTCTATTTAGTCCGTCAGTCAAATAACAGAAAAATACTAGGCACGTACTTCCCCCTACTTCAATTTAATATATAGATACTCTATTAAATACACAAGAAATAGCTTCGATAACAGACAGTAAAGTTGAGAAGTGACCATTATATTTGAATTCAAAATAAATAACCGAAAAAGCGTAGGATAAATTGTCCGGTGCTCTTTCCACCATTTGATAGGGCACTCCTGTTCGAGGAAGTATATTTTCTTTGGAGTACATGTTTAATTCTTCGATAGATTTTCTCTGGCTGTTTGTGGTTGAAGGGAAGATAAAAGAACAATGGTCAAAATGGACTACGAAAAAAAAGTCCTTGTACCAAGATGGGATTATCACCAAAATGTAGTATAAGTTGAATGTAATTATTATATACAAACAACTTATTTTTAAAAGCTGGGAAAAGAAAGATAATCATCTCTAAAATATGTCTTTATTTTTTAGAAAGCAGTTTAAATTATGTTATTTTTGAACGCATCTTATTAATAATGTCATTCCTAGAGAAGTCCATCTCTTTTCAAAGAACAAAATCGATTTTATGTCTGGCTAATCGAATTTGATACAAATCTTATATTATTTACTAACCATATAAATCCGTGAAAATTATAAAACTTAGATTAGATTACTAATATAATTAGATGTTACTTAGAGGAAAATAGATTATTTATTTATAATGAAATTAAAAACAAATGATTGTTCTTAAAAATCGATATTACGATAATCAATCGATTGCGACCTCCCTATTTTTGACAAGTATGTATAGAAGTATGTGCAGACCATTTTGTAGCTTTGGCAGCCATTTTGTGTTCTGTGCGATTTTGTTTTATCTTCTGTATTATAGGGAGCATACTAGGTTCCATGGGCAGTATAAAATTGAGGTCTGTAGAGAAATACCGGATTCTCTGGATTTATTAGAATAAATGCGCTTGTGCACTACACTGAATTTTCATGTCCGGCGGTCCGATTTTTTCAGGTCCGATATGTCAGACCATATGTAGGTAATGCGCGCTTGTGCACTGTCAGGAATTTTACCGTCCGGGATTTTACTTTTCTCTATTCCGGACCGGTTTTTTCAGGTCCGTGATGGCGGCAATGAAACGTGTTTACGCTTGTGCACTGCTGTATCCGAGATCCGGAAAATTCATAAGGAATAGGCTTGGGAAAAAATAATCGATTTGAATCGATATTTATTTCGGCAATTTTTGTTAATTTCCAAATAAACTCATAATCGATATTTATTGTTGATTATAAAATGCTATATTTTATATGATGATTTAATATAGTTGGTATATATCACTGCATATGCTTTGGCAAACTCGGTATAGTTCTAATTTGATCAGCGAATGGTTCTAGTATCGATACTTAGCTAGATTTTAGAATCGTATTAAAAGTATCGATAGCTTAAGGTAAGATAAATAAGTGTTGTTACGCTTAGACGCCTAAATTACTGAACCCATCTAAATGGAAATTAATATAGTAAGTAGACTTAACTTTAAGAAAGGACATAGGCTACATTTTATAGCGAAAAATAGGGGATGACAGTTTGCCTGGAAATTTGTTATTATCAATTTTTTTTAGACAATTGATAAGTATAGATGAATATTTGCCAACAGAAGTAATAATAAGAATAAACAGAAGATTAACAAAAGTAATTAAGTGACACTCAATGTCTTATTCGCATTTAATAAAATTTTTAATGTATGTTTGTGTCATTAATAAATTTTAAAAAAGAAGTATTCTAAGCTAATAATATTTCTGCTCAAAGAAACTACACCACGCGTATAAAATTATGCCTGTATATAATACAGTCAACTGATCTCGTAAAGTTCATTTATCATAATAATTCTCCGCTTACACGACACTAATTTCGATTTGTTTACGAAATGGCGCCACCGATTGGTCTATCTCTGTAATCGCTGAAAGTTGTTTTTACAAAACTTCGAAAAAAATAGCACGTTTAAAAATTTAAACATCAAGTACTAGACCATTATCAGTAATTTTATTCTAATGTCACAGATATTTTTAGCTGTTGTATGTGAATAATGCTGATCCTAAATTAGTAAGGGTATAAGTTTTTACATCTGATAGTAGTCATCCGATAGTAGTAAAAAAAATGCTTTCGTCTTGCCATAATTTATTATGGTTTATGTAAAACGATCAGATCATTATTTAGGTACCTTTCTACGTCTTCGAACGGAATTACTGACGTTCCAAGAATCTCATCGTACCTAGCGTAAGTGACGTGTAGCTTCAAAGAGAGCTGCACTACACTGCGCCGCTCCGATCAGGAAAAAAACGGACAAGTGCACAAGCTACTCATCCGAGTTTTTCATGTCATTCCGGACCGAAAAAATCGGACCGCCGGACCTGAAAATTCAGTGTAGTGCACAAGCGCCCTTAGACTTAAATATAAATAAAGTCCTAATTATAAGGGGTAGAATTAAGTGGAGACATTGGGAGGAAACAATATTATGTGTACATTTAAAAAAATAATGACACATCCGGGTTAGATAGCATAAGAGAACACTACTGTAATTGTCTTATTGGTCGATTTGGCATCTTGGATGGGCCAGACACGAACAGAACGTAGCTGCTCCTGCAGCATTCTCTGATGAGGTGCCTATTCATTAGAGTTGTAATAAAGAAAAGAAAAATCAACATGTTTTATTATATCCTTTTGAAATTAGTATTTTCACTACTACTTTATATAAGTTATAGTGTAAGATAGAAAATTAGAGTTATTGAGAGCAATCTTAAAAATTCTATTATTTTTTTGATGTTCATTGATTCTCATGATTTTATTTCTTATAGTCAATAATATACATAGCTGGGCATTAACTCGTTAATCCGTTAATCGTTAATTAACGAAGTTAACATTTTGATTAACGAATTAACTTTTAAGTTAACTTTTAAAAATGTTAACGGACACGTTAACTTCCGTTAATATGCAGAAGTCCGTTAATCGTTAATCTAATGCCTACTATTTACCGCACGGTACCGCGGCGTGGCGCGAAAAACAGGTTCAGACAAGTATGAAACGAACGACAAGTGCCGGGCGGCGCGTGGCAGCGCGTGAAACAAAAACAAAACTAGATATATTTTG